ATCCATGGCTGTCTAATAGTAATTTAACATTTATTAACTGCTTGATGTGCCAGTAATTATTCCAAAACTCTTGTTAAGAATTAGCTCATTTAATCCTCCAAAGAACTCTAAGAGGTAATATTATCATACCCATTTTACAATGAGGAAATTGAAGCTTCGAGGTGAAATGACTTCCCCAAAAGCTAGGAAATGGAAGAATGGGATTTCAAACTTAGGTTACTATCTCCATCATATTTACCTGGCTCAGAAAAAAAAAAATAGTAAATCCCAACTAAAATAATCATTTAACTTAGAAGCTCAAAGGACGGCATTCTCCTTCCTAGAGTTAAGGTCAAGAAGGTCATCTGCTTGAAGAGCGGATGAAGATCTCAGTTCAAACTGGGGCTACTGATGGACCCCCTGGTAGCTCTCCCTTTGACTCAACTCTCTGTGGCTTCCAGGAAACGTCTGAAGACCACAGAACTCCAGGCTTACTCCAAGAAATCAGAGGAGCCTTAAATAAGCCAGAGCAAGGGCAATGCCAGAGTCCCCCCTGAAGGCTAGATCTGTCCAATATTGCAGTTACTCGCCACGTGTGGCTACTGAGCTCTTGGAATGTGGCTGATCCAAGATGAGATGTACTGAAGTGAATACACATAGTATTTTGAAGACCTAGTACAAAAAAATAATGTGAAATACTAACTATGTGTTAAAATAGTAATATTTTAGATATTTTGGGTTAAATGTTTTATTAAAATTAATTTCACCTGTTTCTTTCAACCTTTTTAGTGTGGTGACTAGAACATTTAAAATTATATTACGTGGCTCGCCTTTCTACTGGGCAGTGCTGTTCTTGCCCATACCTGTGCTGCTCTGGGTGCCGGCTCCCTGCAGCTCTCACTTTGCGAGTGCTTCTCACAGGTTCGCAGAGAAAGCAGGAGGCAGCGTCACTGGCACAGAGGAATAGGGTTAAGTGCAGCTAAGCTCGGCAATCAGGTCTGGAACCTTCAGAACTCATCAGTGACTGGAGACTGGCCTCACGCTTCCCCTAAGAACAGCTTCTGAAATCAACTGAGCATGAGCATCACTCTCCTATTTGAAACTCAGATTGAGATACCCCTGAACTTGGGAACTCTCTCAAAATGTAGTGCTGTCATCAGGGGGACATTCAAAGATCTTATTGCCACTGGGTTGGGGCTGACAGAGATGCACACAGCCAGGACTTCAGCTCCCTGAAGCTTCCTCTCCCACTTTGCTACTGAGCAGAGATGGTCCTCAGTGATTCGACACAACAGGATGGGGAAAAATAAATGAACTGAATTTATTTTATTCATCAGCCTGGGTAATGCACTGTCCACAGACACTGGGGTTGCCTTTCCAGATAAGACTTTTCCTTCCCTCTCTGGAATCATCCTCCACTCCACTGCCCACGTTAACCATCACACCTCATCTCTCTCAAAGCACCATGACAGATGTTTATTTGCTGAGGCCAGCTAGAGCACATCTGAATGCTAGGCTATACTGGAGTGTTTTGCTGCCCTGCAATACAACTTGGTTACTAAAAAACCAAAGGCACTGCACCCATGTTAAAAAAACCTCATCTGATTACTGGGTTAGTAGAGTGAAGGCTGATGCAATCCAAAATCTGGCTGCATCAGCTGCTAGGTATGACAGGAAGTGAGCAAAGTCAGGCATTTGAGAAGAAAGTCACAAGGAATGGTTGTCATGGCACCAATGAAGTCTGAGGCTGGAGCCACATCACAGGGTATCTGGGACCTGACTCCCCCACCCCAGTGCCCAGTACACAGCAAGTGCTCAATGCCAATTAGTTAGAGGGGGTGGAAGAGTTGAATGCAGAATGCTCAGGCCCTCTGGATCCTGGGGTCAGCCATATCTTCAGAAAGAGATGGTGCCCCTGACATCAGGAGCTGGTCTGTCAGTCAGGCCTTGGTGTTGCTACAAGCTGGCCTGGCACGCACAGCTAGTCCATGGTGTTCTCCTGTTGAACACAAACAATTTCACAAAATATCAACTTCAGACAAGGCCACTGTGACTGTGATGAAGGTGAAAACAAGACCATAATCACAGACAAAATATAAACATCGTCCGAGTCACAAAAATTACCAAGCATCTTTAATGAGTAACTGCTGCTTCTTTACCAATGCCAGCCTTGGTCGCACTCCATTCTTCCTACCTTCTGGGTAATTATTAAGTTACGCAATCATAGAATCACTCCTGCTTCCTGACAGCATCCAATCCAGAGCAAAGCCCCACTGCCGCAAACCCAAACCCTGTAAGTCCTAACACTCCAGAGACCCACAGCTCCCCGTGGCGTGTGATTTCCCTTTCAGTGGGTCGGTAAATCCAACTTTGTTCAACTGTGTGCTCCTAAATGGTCTTTGGCTAAAGGGAATTAACAATCCTTAGTCATAAATGCCCCTTCCCAGGCTAGCAATGCCTATGGCTGCCATTGTGCCTAAATCACCGGGAGAAAGGGGGGAAAGGAAACAGGCACAGGAGAGGAGAAATCAATGGTTGTTCAGCTTCGTTCCAGAGTGACAAATAAGGGTGACTTCTACAAAGGGCACGTTTCTGTGGCCCACCCAAAGTTGTGTGCAATGTTCTACCCCTTCCTGCCACTAAAGAAAGCTCATCAGAATACAGAAGCTGATTAATATAGGATTAACCATGAGCCTAGGAATGCATGCATGCATACACACACACACACAAAATAAACCATCCACTAACTTCAGGACTTTAACAAATGACTCCAGACTCAAATTCCAACAGATGGACACAACTAAGCCCTGTAACTACCTTGAAGTAGGAGCAAGGCCTAGAGCCAGAGAAGTCCGGCCTGCTTGCCAGTGTGAGACCAAGTTACTTGAACTGAGCCTCAGCTTCTCATTCTGCAAATTAAGAGAACACCATAAGGTTGCCGTGCATTTACAAAGGGCCAGAATAGTGCCTGCCACACAGTGAATGTTCAAATATGATAGTTCACCCCTTCCCCCTCCTCACTTTAAAAGGTTGAAACTACTGAAATAGTATATTAAAAATAGCACATTAAATAAAGTCCCTTTCCTCAAATAAAAGCTTCTTGAAGAGTATTCTAAAATTAGCTTTTCTTTGAAACTTGCCTGTATCCATCGGAATTTTCCCATACAAAGTTACAATATGGCATCCCTGGCGCTTCTTAAGGCCAACGTAAGAGCATCCTCCTGGAGACTACGAAACCCCCCACCTGAAGACCAGGGGCTCCAAGCTGGTTTGGTCACTATCCAGCTTTGCAGCTGTGACCAAGTGACTTACCCTATTCAGGCCTCTCTGCCATAAACTGGCACCGCATTTAACTTTAGCTAAAAGTGCTTTGATGGGAGACAAAGCCAGCAGTGACAATAGGTAGGAAGCTCTCACCAGTTACCCGATGACCTCTGTCCCACTGTGGCATTCCTGTCGACTTGCCCATGGGCTCACAAGGCTGGAGACACCTGGAGCCAGAAGGATCTTCCTCACTTGTGTCCCATCCTCCTCCTCCCACCAGTGGCCGTCAGGAACTGGCCCATGATGGGAGCTCAGAAACGGTCAGATAAATAAATGAAGAGTATAAAACTTTGTGAGAAGCTCTAGCCGAAACCAAGTCGAATATACTTTATTCAAATCCAAGTGATTTTTTTCTTTGATGTCTCCCAGAAATGTGACAGCTTCTCTTGGTTATAAAACTTTCCCAGCACCAACCCTGCAGCTCACCCTGTGCCCCAGATTGATCACATGTAACTAGCATGTGGATCATGCGGAAGAAAACCGCTTTTTCCATCCAACTTATCACCAGCAAGATCACATTTAAAAATAATTTTAATGAAGAATCTTCAATCAAAATTTACCTCTTGAACAAATTACTGTATACGTAAAGCACAGCAGGTGTTTTGTTTTCTTCAAGAGATGAAAAACCTAACCTCAACATCCGAAGGAACTGCGGTTCAGTCACAGGTGTGAATGCCTGTGAAACCCACAAAAAATTTACATGTGATGTGGAGCATGCAGGTGTTTTTCTGAAATTTGGTTCAACTTTGTTGTTTATCTTTATTCCTAAATTTAATCCATGCCATAGGAGCTTTGAAGGATTATTTCAAAAATTAGTTCTATCAAGTTTCTCAGCTGAGATCTAGTGCCCGTTTTGTACAAAAATTATCACCCAACCCAAGTTAGTCTTAAAGAAAACTAAAGCACTCTTAACAATAGGTTTCCTGACAATGTGAGGCAATTATTTTTAAAAAGCACCCTGAGAGTTAAAAAGGAGGAATTGAGAAAGAAATAAAAAGCCTCTTTAATGCTCAGTCCTGATGAACTTTTATTCTGCACCTTGATTTAATAGGAATTTAGATGCCAACAGGTTTGAAAGTTATAATCCCAGCTTCAAAAGAGAGGGCAAGCTGTGGGAAATGATTGTTCAAGTATCGTACAAAGCTAGCACAGGGGAAATCAGGACTCTCAGCATAAAGACCTTTTAACAGGAGGATGGATGCCTTTGCATCTCATCTAGAACCATCTCTGAGCTGGTCACAGCCTTGCCTTTCCCTGTGAGGCTGTTTTCTGGGCAGTTCACTGCTTATTAGGCAGACTGTCTAAAGATCACAGGGTGGGAGTGATAAAGAGGAAATTCAGGTATGTTTTACTGCGTATCAACTTCCATGACTAAAAAAAGGTTTGACTAATATGAAACTTGGGGATTTGTGACTTTTGCTCAGCTGTATTAGCCTCCATTAACAAAGAAAATTTGAGGCGGCAAAAAAAAAAAAAAATTTAATACCTTGCTTGACAAAGGTCTCTAGCATACTTCCTTAGATAACTGATCTATCTGGAAGATAGCCCTCCCAGAAATAAAGGAAGTATTTACCTATTCTTTGCTTCAATATGTCTTGAGTGAATTCTACCCCTTAGCAAAGATCTGATGTAAAGTGAGTGAGCAAAACGGATTCCCATGGTACTTCAAATTCTGCAGTAAAGACAAAGAGTCAAAATGGCACCACACTGTTTTATTTCAATCTGCAAACAATATAAAGAGGTGATGACTTCTGATGCCAAAACATGCAAGTAATAATAAAGGAACACAAAAAATATTAACAATGAAATCATTAAAGAAACAAATATTTCACATTTCACATCAGTGCTTTGGCAGTATTGGCAAGCATTTCTGGCCAACTGCTTACAACAGCAGGCATCTGGAGAAACCCTTCGATCTTAGAAAAAAACAACCACATTTTCTCCCTGAAAGCTAACATTCCAAGTCACTCCACACCACACTGTTCTACCCAGCAGACTTCTGTAAACCTGATCTTAAGATATAACTAGGTATTGTGCGTGCTTACAATGAAAACTAACTCAAAACAAAACAGATAGTGGCAGACAAGTAAACAAAGTTTCCAGTAAGGCATCAGGAGATCACTGCTGGCTGGGCCCTTCATTTTACCAGCTTAAAGAAAGGTTTTGATTTTTATTTCTCAGCAAATCCAATATTCAGAAGCTTAACCAGCAGGCTCAAGTCAAAGGTTTTAAAGACCATTCCCCCTATTCACCCCCTTTTTTTGGTAAATGTTTCATATAAAACATGGAATCAAGTTCTACTTTATAAAAAAACAATATTGTAATAGTAAAAATATATGTTTATATTTCTCTTGTTAAAAAGACATTTAATAACAATACTTCAGAAGACCGGATTTAAACACCCCCCGCCCCCCACCCTGCCAGTTGTGTACCCTGGCGCAGATACATTAAGGCAAAGGCTCCTGGAGAGGTCTGTCCACCCTGGCTGTGAGCTGGAGACTCAAGGTGAACACACTCTGCTCCTTGCAGGGTCAACAGAAAGGCTTCTCCCTCATGTTCACTGAGCCATCCTGCATCCCGAAGTAGACTCTCTCAGCCATGTTGATGAACAGGCCTGTGTCCACCACACCTGCAGGATAAAGGACAGAAACAAGCACTAAGTTTACACCAAGGCAAAAACAGAATCAAGCATTGTAGGGTCACTGCAATACAACTGCCATAAACGACACTGCACAATTAACAAATCTAAAGCCTTCCTCTCCCACATAGCAATGAAAAGAGATTCTGATTATTTCTTCTTGCCACCTCTGTCTCCCCTCCCACCTTGGCTTTCCTTCTGTACTCAAGCATGCCAAGCTTCGTTCTGCCTCAGGGCCTTTGCTCATGCTGTTCCTTGCCTGGACTAGTCATCATCAAGCACTTCAAAGGCTTGGCTCTTCTCCATCCTTCAGACATACCAGATGGCAAGTCATCTTCTAAAGAGACTCTCCATAATTACTCTAAGCACGTCCCTCCCCCATTATTTTCAATCACACAGCCTCAGAAGATTTCCTTACAGAGTGGGGGGAGATATTTGCAAAACATATATCTGTCAAAAGACACATCAAAAAATATAACGACTCCTCAAATCATTATGAAAAAGACAACCAAATAGAAAAATGGGCAAAAGACTTGAACAGGTACTTCACAAAAGAAACTATCCAAAATGGCCAAAAACATTTTTTAAAAAAAAGGTACACAAATTCATGAGTCAAAAGGAAATGGAAGTGCTCGCTTCGGCAGCACGTATACTAAAACTGAAACAATACAGAGAAGATTAGCATGGCCCCTGCGCAAGGATGACACGCAAATTCGTGAAGCGTTCCATATTTTAAAAATAAATAAATAATATTTTAAAAAAGGGGAATGCAAATTAAAATTACAAGCTATCACTACACACTCATCAGAATTGAGTATAATAAAACTTGGCTAAGATGCAAAGACATTTACACATTGATGGTGAGGGTCAACTGGTTCCAAAACCACTTTGTAAAATGTCTGTGAGCACATCTTACAAAGCCTAACATATTCATACCTAACCACTAGCAATTCCAGACACACAATTGTTAGTCATACATATGGTCAGCAAGATATGTATAAAATATACATAGCAGCACTCTTCCTAATAGCTAAAAACAGAATACCCAAATGCCCATCAAGAGTAGAATGGATATATAAACATTTTTTTCACACACAAAGTCAACAATGGAACACTATTCAGGAATGAGAATTAACAACTACATGAGACTTTTATCAAAAATATTTACACACACACACACACACACACACACACACACACACTACAGTGAGATAACACTGATGAGCCTAGAGTGCTGGTACAAGGGTAAATTGGTACAATCTGCGCAAGGCAATTTGGTACCGTCTAGCAAAAATCACACGTACAATTATCCTTTCATTCAGTAATTCTCTTCTAGCAAAGGATTAGAAACATAAATGATAATCTAGTTAAGTAAATTATATTACATGGCCATAAAATGGAATACACACAGTTCTTTAGGGAAAAAAAAAAAAACAGTGAGAAAGCTCTTTTGTGAACCAACATGTAATAATCTCCCAAATGGGAAAAAGCAGGAAACAGAACATGCACATAGTATGCTGTCAATTGTGTACAAATGGGTGGAGCGGGGGAGTTTCAATTTGTGTGTTTAAGGAAGACCATGTCAAAAACACCACACAATTTTGGTAACTTTGGCTGCCTCCAGGTAGGGTAACTAATTGGCTAGAAAAAGGGGGAACGGGGACTTGCCACTGTTTACTCATAATTATGAACGACGTAAATCCAAAAGGATAAATAAAACTTCCAAAGATAGCTCGCAATAAACAAATAAAATGAGGCAGTGATTGATCTATCAGGGATGGAAAGCCAAAGAGTAGAGAGAAGAGCCACTGAAACATAAAGGTCCCTGGCACTGAACATCGCCTACATGACTAGAGCCTCCCCAAAGATAAACAAAGGTGCCAAAACCCATCCTTCTCCAAAATTCTGCAATACAAGGTGAAAGCTTCCATCTGATCCAAGAGGAGGGCAAACCTGGCTCAGAAAAGGCTTTAAGAATAAAGAGCAGAGATGAATGGCAGCAGTCTAAGGTGTAATCTTAGAGTAACCTCTCTTTGAGTTACTGAGATGCTGGGAGTGACTGACACCCCATTCCCCAAATAAAATACAGTGGAAAGAGCAGTGGATGCTAACTATGAACCTGGAGCAGAGAACCCTGATAGCTCTGGCCCTTACACATAGAGTCGCTCTGCTCTGGGTGGAACCCAGTGAAACATCAAGGGAGTTGTTCTCTAAGTGTCCTTACACACTGCATATGAATGCACGTGGGACAAGGGCGGGGCAGCAGGGATAAATAAGGAATCTTGCTTCTCCTCCCTTGCTGCTGGTCCAGTAGTGAATCTAATAGACTAAATCAGGAAGAGAGAAAATGAGAAAAGAGACAACAAACTAGTCTGATGGTCCTGTTGATACCATATATGACTTAATAGCTAGCCTCTTTCGTCATTTTCCTGACTCTAAATTCCTAATAAACTCTGAACTTCTCTAGGATGCAACCTCTACATACTCAAGTGGAGAGCAAACTACGAGGAAAATTTCCTTACAAAGGAGATCTCAATGTCTCAATAAGCCAAGAAAGGTCTGTGCAGGAACAGGAGAGCTGCCTAGTGGGCACCGCGAGAAATCCACCTACATAGCACCTACACTGGTGAGCTGTTTCCTCCCTGGACCCCTGGATTTATTTGTCTGTAGTATCATTAGAGGCAAATTCTCCCATTTTACTAACAGTGACCTCTACATCTTCTCTTCCACCCGCCCTCTTGGCTCTTTACTTCTTCTATTAAAAAGATAACACTTTATTTCTATTATTGCATTAAAGGAACAAAAAAAAAAGATAAGAGAATTCACTTCTCTTTTTGACTTAATAAATCAATTAAAAGATTGTCAACAGAAGACTAAAGTAACAGACCATAGAGTTGGAAGAATTAGCTTTTTGTTATACAGCATATATTCACATCATTTTCAATCCCAACTAGCATGGATAACTTAGAATCTACTACATTTAATTAATGGTGAAGATAGTGCCTTTCTTCCCGGGGATTTATTCATTCAATAAATACTTCCTTGTGTGCTGGACACTGTTTTAATTCATTTAATTCTCCCAACAACCCTATGAGGTAGGTATGAGTATTATTCCTTTTACGGAGGAAGAAACTGAAGCACAGAGATATTAACTAACAGCTCAAAGTCCATACTGCCAGAGAATTGCTGGGTAAGGATCCTTATCTAGACAGTCTGCTCCAGAATTTGCTCTGCTAAACTGACTTTATCTGCCTCATTAGCCAGTGCTGGCCCAAGAATATTCCATGACATGAAATATTTCCAGTGAAACTGACTCTCAATATCTCTCTATTAGTATCTCTTAATAGAGACTGATACCTCTCAAGACTGCCTCCTTGGCCAGGCGTGGTGGCTCTCGCCTATAATCCTAGCACTCTGGAGGCTAAGGCAGAAGGATCATTTGAGGTCAGGAATTTGAGCCTGAACAAAAGTGAGACCCCATCTCTACTAAAAATAGACAAAATTAGCTGGGCATGGTGGTGCATGCCTGTAGTCCCAGCTACTCCAGAGGCTGAGGCAGGAGGATCGCTGGACCCAGGAGTTTGAGGTTGCTGTGAGCTATGATCATGCCACTGCACTCTACCCCAGGTGACAGAGCGAGACTCTATCTCAAAACAAACAAACGAAAAAAAGACTGCCTCTTCTTTTGAATCCTCTCAAGTCAAAGGAGTCCCCAGTACATCCTCTGGCACGGAGTAGGGCTCCAGCCTCATAACTCATCTCTACACTGCCCACCCAGACTTCACCTGGGGCCCTACCCTGGCTCCTACTCCATCATACCCTGGCACAAGCTGCATCTGAGGCTCTCCACTGTTCCAAATGTTCATTTCACACAGACTCTCTTCACCTGGCACTTGAGCAAGTGAGGACTAAACATTTAGGGTCTAAAGACCAACAACTCAGGGCTTCCCTCTTGCTGACACAGTCCTTGGGCAAATCACTTAACCTTCCTCAGCCTGTGTATAACTCCTCTATAACTACTTCATCAAAGTGGGAATCAAATGAGACATTTTTAAACACTTAGCACAGTGTCTAAATTATGGTATGCTAAGGCATAGGTCAAAAACCTCCTCTATACTATAGAACTTCCTCACACTCCCCAAAAGAAGCAAATCTAGCACTCTAGGCTCTCAGTGTTCCTCTAACAGGAATTAGCACCTTCCATCTTATTTGTAGGCATGGCTTCTACACAGCCACACACAAATTTCCCCATGTTTACATCAACTCTCTTTGAGGACAGATTCCATGTTCTATAGAGCATAACCTATAACACGTGGCACGGCATCTTGCCCCTGGTATGTATCCTATGAACGTGGGTAGCCTTATTTCAAAGCAAGCCCCCTCTGACTTTCCATGAGCTTCGGGACTATCCCAACTCAAACAGGCTGTGAAATGCACAAGTGACAAAGCTGCTAGGTAAGCAACAACTGTTCCGGGGCCAGGGAAGCCAAAGGAGGTGAAGTTAAAAACCCAAATACGGTATAAAGGAAGTTCTTTCTAACCGAGTCTTACAAAGCCCATGTCCATCATGCCTTTTGTGGCCAGATGTAGAAGACAGTTATAAAGGACATGGGTGTATATGCCCAGTGCATGCCACTTGTGTTACCTGGGATCATTTTGATGGCTGTGTTCACTTCACTCCATTTGTGTACCCGGTCAAACTTCCAGTCCAAGATAAAATTCCCATTATCTGTCACCACAGGACCCTAGAAGACAATTTTCACATTGACCAAGGATGTAGACACAGGTAGACAGAGGACAGGGAAGTGGAGGGGATAACCAAAGACAGGCATCCTAATTAACCAGCTCCAGCCAGTGCTCCCACTTTATGCTTTCTAGAAGGTGTGCTGTGAAGTAGTAAAGAACAGTTAAGAGTCAGAAAGGCTTGGATTTGAATCTTAACGCCACACAGGTACAGATCTCAGAGGAGCCATTACCTTCTGTGAGCCTCAGGTTTCTTAACTGCAAAAAAAGGATAACGATACATACTTCATAAGACAGCTTACGTATATATTATATGCATAAACACCACAGTAAGAGCTCAACGCGTCTTAGCTGTTATTATAGTGAAAATCTATAGCAACAGCACAGATTACCAACATCACACAATATTCTCATAGCTTCACATTAAGTATCATCAATGATATGAAACAAGATGATGCTACTTCACCCATGACAACCTCCCTCCCATCAGGCAGTCCCAGCGAAAAGACAGGGAGAACAAGAACAGCAACAGGGTCTGAGGTCAAATAGGCAGAGCGTAGTTTTACTTAATTAATCCAGAATTCCTCAACAGCTTCAGATACTAGAAAAGCAGATCTGGGTGCTTAAGAACACAATTGTTAGGAGAACACCAAGTCGAAGGCAAGCACACCAGGACTCCCCGGCAGACTGCCCAAGAAGGGCTGGGAGCTCAGTAAAAACTCGGTGAAGGCAGGCGGCTGGGACTCTGCCTGGAGTAACCCCAGCCCCCGGCCTATCAGCTACAACGTGAGTCACATAACGTCAGCCAGAGCACTGTACGACCACTAGGATCGGGACTATGACTTTTTTAAGTCATAAAAACAATGGGGAAAAAACATATCAAAACAAAAATGTTTCAGGGCAAAGTTACAGATCTTTTCTCTATCTTCCAACCTTTTTATATAGTTATATATGTAATTGTAGTTAGCTTTTGGATTATTATTCTTGCTTATTTAAGTGTAAGGGGGAGAAAAGTTCTCTGTAACCCACTTTAGAAGCTGAAGGGAAACATGAAACATTTGGACTAGGTGTCTGGAGTGTATTCCTGGGGAGAACAATTCACACACCCCAAGAAATTCTATTTCTTGTCATATTTAACCACAGAATGCGAGAAAAGAGGAGGAAAAAAGAAAATTACACCATGGAAACTGAAAAGCTTTCTGCCCTAGTGAGGCTTCCCAAAGCCAGTGTCTAAGCAGCTATGAACCAGGGTGTTCCAGGCCTTGGGTATAAAGGTCAGAACACCTGAAGCATGTCAGACCCTGAAGGACAGAGAAAGAATTATTCCCCCTTTGTATGGAGGATATGCACTGTATTAAGTATGGTATTGTCTACATGAGTTTGAACACAGAAACTAATGTAGCCAACTCTAAAAATAAGTAAGTCGATTAAAAACAAATAAATAAAAGCCAACTGCCTAGGGGAGGTGCAGAGGACCTAACTGGAACGGAAGGAAGGACACCACACTGAGAACCTGAGTGCCCTCCAGAACACCCCCACCCCAATCTGGCCACTTACTGCCTTGTTAACAGCCATGCGGAGTTCAACCACACCCCCAAACTTCTGGCTCACAGCTCGGCTCACTGGGACGTAGGCCATTGGGATGACCTCGATGGGGATTCCCTTGTGCCACTGATCCCCAAGGTTCTTTGAATCTTTCCTGGAAAGAAAGAGTCAAGAAGAACAACAAAAGTAAATAAGCTCAATGGTACAAACACCAAATGCAGGAACGGGGTTAATTAGATGGTGGGAGGGCAAACACTGTGATCAGGGGCAGTACACACTGGGCTGTTTTACTATTTAAGAAAAGAGATACTTGAAATAAGTAGGACAAAAATGTTAAAATCTGATATGGCTGGCTTGCAGGTATATAGGTGTTTAATATTCAGGCTCTTTCTGTAGCTATATTTTTTCATAGTAAGTGAATACACACACATACATGTATTTTAAATCAACATGCAGCACAAGTGCCTTCTACCAGGCTCCTTGAAGGAGAACATGAGAGCTAGTCAAAGACTGTCCACAGTATGAGTCACCCAAGAGGAAGCAGGGTGTGCTGAGAAACTGCCCACTTGCAGGGCGGACTCTGCTTCCTCTGAGGCCACTTGTGAGGATCTCATGAGTGATACGTGAGGTATGCTCTGTCAACAGGGTGACAAGCTGTCTCCTCCCCCTTCCACTGGACACATGAAATAAGACTGAAGATCCTGGCTCAGCATAAGGGTAATGGAATCAGTTAGTGACTTCTACCTTCAGCCTGGAAGCAAAACATAAGCTCTCCTTGACACTGCCTTAAGTCCCAGCTATCAGTCTGAGAAAGTCAGAGAGTTCCTCCATCTCTCTATTTCCCCTTCTATAAAACAGGAACGAAGCTTGGGGATCCAATCTACCTCTTCAGTCAGCAGGTCAGAACGCCAGAAACCATACCTGAAATCAGCGATCACAATGAAGCGACTGGCATAGCCAGCCACGATCTTCTCCTGGGTCAGACAGCCTCTGTAGATAGAAAAGAAGCAAATAAACACAAGAGTATGACAAAATCTCGATTTGGGAACTAAGGTCAGATACATAAATCCCAAATCCACTCGATCCTGGCACTTAAAGAGAAATTTAACTGTTAATGTTTAAAAGGACATCCCCAATCCCATCATGCTGTTTCTAGTAAATGGGCTATAGACACATTAGTCTGTGTCTGGGAGAAACCTAGAAAGCAGACAATGGTTCCCATTCAGGCCAGGCATAATTCCATCCAAGACGCATCTGAGAGAAAGCTTTGTGTTTAGGGAGACGTCATCTAGACATGGCATGAATGGGAGGATCTATAACCTGAGGAAGGCAAGCTTCGAACAATGTGCCCAATCAACTATTTGACAGTCAGTGTGATGGAGAGGAGAAAGCCCAGATCACTGAATTGGCAGATCTGGGTCCAGGCTATCTCTAGTGCTAAGCAGCTAAATTAATTCCCATCTGCAGTCAAGAGGATTAAATAACACATATGAAAATCTTTTTAAAAATAAAGTGTGATTTTAAACAAATGTTCCATCATTCAGTAGTCTGCTTGATTATATAACAAACAGCAGAACAGGGCATCACCTTTTTCAACTCACCATTCCCTACCCTGCAAATCAGCATTTAAGAAACAATTAATGTTTTTCAAATGAATGACTAACATCCCTAACTGTTCACAGAGGTAAGCACAGCTTTAAAGCAAAGGTCACACATTGGTGCCCACAGACCTAATAATCTAGTCTAGTAAGATTTTGGTTTGGCCTGGACAGTTTTTAAAGTTTGAATCAGCAGAAGAATGCAGATCCACAGAGAACCCATTAAGAGGAGTGAGCTCACTAAAGAGGCCCAGGTTTCTTGTCACCAGATTGCTATTAATGACCAGAAATGCCAGGCTGGGTCTAGGGCCATATGCTATCAACATCTTAGCAGAAAGACAAACAGACAAACTCACATATGTCACAGCAGCAACTTGTTCATTCTGTATCCCATCTCACTTTGCTAAGGACGAACTGGCAGATAGTCTTAGCGAGAAAGTATCCACAACACTCACCCACCACCCTTGATGAGATTGAGATCAGCATCTACTTCATCAGCACCATCGATGGCAAGGTCAATCTGTATCAGGGAGAAGATATGTTAAGAGAAATCACCAAGAGCTTTCTTGAGGGGAGGCTCTATGCTAACCCTGACCATGCACTAGCTCATCAGATCCGCAGCGGCCCTATTAGCTAAGTCCAGTATTCCCACTGAACAAATCAAGAAACTGAGGCTCCAAAGGTTAAGTCACTCCACTAGGGTCACCAGGAAACCAACACAGGACCTGGGACTCTAACCTGGGTATAGCTCTCACTTATGACTTTACACTCCCTCTTCCCATTGATGGGCTTCTCTGTGGACAAGCTGGAATTATTAGAACGTGCATTCTCAGTGTGGGTGATATCATACCCTAGGAGGCAAAAACTAGTTCTTGGGGGTGGGGGAAGATCTTACTTAGACATTACAATGGTTTTTGGCCCTCCAAAGGGCCAATACAGTATATATGTGGTATTACATTCCATTGCGGATGGAGGGTCAATAGTGGGGAAAAAGCCAAGAAAAACTGATTCAAAAGTCTCTGTACTAATTTTGAGCAAACTCACAGGCAATTTCAAGTGGACATGAAGATCAAATGAAGAGATATATGAAGAAGTTGACAGACATTTGATGTGTTCCTGAATTGGAAATTATTTAGGCACTTCCACTAAGACCCCACCTTGTCTGGGCTTGCCACTCCCTCTATTAGGATGCTCTACCACCAGCTCCAACAGCAGCTGAGGGGCAAATGGGTTCATTCATCTTTCAAAAAATCAAAATCAAGGAACTTACACATTTCTCATCACTCGTGGTAGTCTGCATGGACAACGTAGGAACCTTAACAACTTTTTTTAAAAAAAAAAACAGCAGTATGCAGGGTACAAATTCTATTCATGCTGCAGTTACTAAGTTGCTTAGCATGGCCGGTGGCACAGGTGTAAAGCCTACAAAATTTCATGCTAGGCATGCTTGTTTCCATCCTTTTACAGATCTGGCCTTTGTCTAAAGTTACAGCCTGTATTGCTCTTCCCCCAGCCTACACTAACCCTTGGGCCAGGCTGCACTGTGGCAATTACCTGAGATCTGGAAGGTGGCAAGTTTTTCTATCTAGGTTCTAAACCCACTTTCAGCCCAAAGCACTCTCTTCACAGCCACTGAACAGATGATCAGCCTGTCCCCCAGGCTCTGCCCATAGACATCTCCCAACAGGTCCTTCCCATAGTTCTTACTAACCCCTCAGAGGCCCATGTGTACCACAGCAACACGGGTTACTAGACCACCATCAAGTTCCTATGTAGAGGACACTTTGGGAACGGTTTTTTGTTGTTTTTCTCAGAATATGCCTGGGGCTTGAACACAAGTCCAGGGCGCCCTTATCTGAAAACAGTAAGGGCTAGAGAGTTTAGGATGAAAACATCTGCTCGCCGGAGACGAAACAACAAGGAACAGGGACGTGTTGAGTCGGGACAGTGGGAGAACAAAGAAATTGCAGTGGGACAGTTGCCAAACAGGCTGTGTTATAAATAAAGAAACTATAGCAAGAATTTTGCTGCAGTCTTATACCGTCTTTGTGTGTGTGTGTGTGTCTCTTTGTAGTGGCTGCAGTCCTGTACCTTCTTTGTGTGTGTCTGTGTCTCTCTGTCTCTGTGCTCATTTCTCAGCCCCAAAAAATGGGCCACGTCATTCCTATGCCAGCCTGGTTTTCCAATTGCCGTAGCCTCACCCCACTTTTCCAGTGCAGCCTTGTTTGCCCTCTCCTCCGCCTTCCTCCACCATGCACCAGCACATTCCACTCACTCTGTCCTAACCATCCCAGCCAGTCTGAGTGGTGCCCACATATGCTTACGTGCCCACGTGGAACTGTTTCCGTGGTTCCCATCCACCCCCCTCTGGAATGTTCTCTCCTACCCTCGCCACCCAGCCTTTACAGTTCAGTTCAAACTTTACCTCTTCCCACAAAATTTTCTATTACAACTAGCACCACTCTAGAATCAGAAGCACCTAAGTTCAAATTCTGGTTCTGCCATTTACAGTGTGGCCTTCAGGAAATGACTTTACCTCTCTGTGCATTTTCACATCTATAAAGTGGGAAAATTATGGTACCGACCCCCAAGAACTGTGGAGATTAAATAATTTAATGCAGGTATAGCACTTAGCACAAAGCTGGATACACAATAATGGCTCAGAAAGTGCCAGCTAGGATGGTGTGTGGTGCTGCTCACCAACTGCAGCCTCCTCTGGGCTGCCCCTGTATTTAACAGTCTTTACCACAACACTTCATTTTAATCTGTTTTCAAATGTCCGTGACTGCCTCAGATGATTCCTTCTCACCTCCACTTATAGGTAAGCTCTGTGGGCTGGCTGATACCTCTGCAGAAGGACCTCAGGAAGGCCTGCATCCAGCCCTGGGTTTGTCCACTCCCGCTTCACTACACTCATAGTTAAACCACAGGGACACACTGGAAACTAACCACTTCTCCATTTGTGACCTCAGCCAGGATTAATACTCAGGGTCCCAGGAGAAAAGTTAATATGACTAACTGACCTTTTCCCTACACCAGACAAAGTATCTAGAACCTACAAACAAGTGACAGCCATAAAAAAGGAGACAGACACAGCAGTCTGACTCTCTCTCTTACCTCTGGGTGTCGATCCAGGTCACTGAGGGTTAAGCCATACTGCAGGATGAGCTGACGGGCCTGCGGAAGACAGAAAAAAGCACCCATAATCACATACTATGAGTTTGTGGCAAGGATTCTCAGAATTCTTTTGGATTTAAGTGTCAAACACTGAGTCCTGCCCAGGCTCTCCTCCAAATCCCAATGTAGCCCATCAAGAGGTAGGAGATATAGCCCCATGAATGACAACACTGCTAATCAACCTGGGAAAAAGGCGAACACGACACCAGAAGACTCCGCTCCCGTGCTAAGCTAAGAGCTCCTCCTCAGTGACTTGCTGCTACTAAAGGCAACGCCATGGCCTCCCAAAGCTTCAGGCAGTACAGCTATTACAAAAAATTCCTAAAATATAGAACCAAAACCACAAAGCATTAGAAACGTTTTTAAAACAATCCAACAGTATAAAAAAAGACTGAGGAAGAACACTATGAATTCATACGGAGTGATTTCCAGGCCTTATTGTTCAGGATATAGGGAAAAGAATATATACACACTCAGAAAAGTATATACAGGCCAGAACTCTAGAATGGCTAAGTGAGAAACAGCAATTTTTGAGCACCAGAATGGGAGAGATTCAGTTTGTGGAAAAAATCAGCACCACTGACTTCACAGACATGCCTCATAGCTAACTAACCTTTTAAAAAGGCTGACGAAAGGGGAGAACAGTGGTTAGGGCCACCACATAATCCCTGAGCAGGATTTTGTAGCTGGGATAAAGGTACCATGAACTTCTGCATTTGAACATCCAAGTCTAAGAGATGAGGGTTTGTGTTCATGTTATTGCTTATAATACACAGAGGAACCAAAGGATGGAAAACTTTTTTGCAAAGGCATGCCTTTAAAACATTTTCTGCTTAAAGTGAAAAGCACCTGAGAGAAATAATCAGAAGGTCCAGATTCTAATCTTAAATATACCAGCCATGTGGCCCTTTGCAAGTTTTCTGTAAAAAGATGGGGTTGGATGAAACCACCAAAGCCAACCTTCTAATCTAAAATCCTAAGATTGTAAGAATAAAACATAAAGACCCTGGAATTTGCAGTATATGGGCCTTACCTGGATCCTAATTCAAACAAACTTTGAAAAATATTTTTAAAGGATAAGACAATAAGAGAAATTTGAGCCCTAGATTTTTATTTGATGCTATTAAAGATCATTGTTTATTTTTTTAGTATTGTTGTGATGTTTAAAGGACTCCTTATTTTTCAGAAATATATAATGAAATATATGCAATGAAATTATATTATAGCTGGAATTTGTTTGAAAATAACAAGGGTGGGAGAGTGATTGAGGTATAAATGAAACAAGATTGGCCATGAATTGGTAACTGTTGAAACTGGGTGCCAGGTACATGGAAGTTCATTTTATCGTTCTTTGCCCTTTTTGAACTTCAAAACTTTCCGTAATAAAAAGCTAAAATAAAATGCTGGCTGAAA